GTCAGAACATCAATAGCAGCTGGTTTGAAATGGAAGAAAGAATTGGTTGAATTTTTACGTCAATATAGGGCAACGCCTCACTCAGTACCAAACTTTCACCGTTTGAAGCTTTGTATGGTAGAAAAATGAACATTCTTTTACCTTCAAGTAATACTGAGAAACCGTATAACAAATATGAGGAATTGGTGCAACAAGATAAACAGAGTAAGGATAACACCAAACAATATGCTGATGAAAAACGTCATACAAAACCGTCTCCTGTCAAAATTGGTGACACAGTATTAGTCAAACAGAGAAAAATCACAAAATTATCAACAACGTTTAACTCTAACCCATACAGAGTTATAGAGAAGAAAGGAAGTATGATCACTGCTCAATCTGGTGGTCACAAAGTCACTAGAAATTCTTCACACTTTAAAAGAGTTAATGTGAACCCAGAAGTCACATTTTAAGAAGAAGAGGAAGAAGAAGATGATAACTATTTTCAAAATAATCAAAATATAGAGGATGAATATCATCATAATAACCATCAACAAAATAATTAAAATCAACACGAAATAGCTCTACCTATACTAAAAGATGTTAGAAAGTCAACACGTAGAAAGAAGTTACCTACAAAATATAAAGACTTTATAATGTGAAATTACAGACTGTTTAAATAAGAACAACAAACACATTTTAATTGTGTAATGACAATACTTTAATTTCTAAAGAACAGTTCAGTTTATTTTATTGAGTGAATTACAAACAGCGGGTCAAACAAGTCCTTTCAGAATTTATTGATTCGAGTTTAAAGTTTTAACCTTTTTACATTTTGATAATTAATTTTAGGAAACATGTTTCTATCGAAGGTTAGGAGGATTGTCGTGTCGCGATCTCTGGTTTGATCCGTGGTTTGATTATAGATAATAATATTGTCATAGTTATCTCCCTTTAGTTGTAGCACGCAAGTTTTCAGATTATAAACGTCAGACTGCCTACACACCGTCTTGTTGTTTCTCCCCTAGAAGACTCGTACCCACACATTACACAAACATTACAAGATTATAACCCAGTCCGTTGTTGGCCAATTTGTTTTTTAAAGTGATGTATTGAAATTTAGTTTTTTTTTAAAATAAATCAAAAAAGCGCAGAGCTATCAAATCTGGTCAAATTTTGATCACAAAAAATTAATTCGGCCAGTGGGAGCTTATTTTTAAAGTTTTGTCATAATCAGTTGCTAACCAAAGGCTAGTTAATAATTCTGTTCTCTTTAAGATTGTTGACAACATCAATAACAGCTGATGGGAAGTGATGCCTGGTTGCGATTTAATTCGTAACAAATAACGGCAAATTTTGCCCGGTTGAAATGTTTCTCTTTATAACTCAGCAAGTTTTTTTTTACTGATTCTAAGACATTTGCGATATTTTACTTACATTTCAACCCGGCAAACATTGCCGTTATTTGTTACGAATTAAATCGTAATAACAAGAAGACGTGACTTCATATCAGATTTTATAATTTTTGTAAACAATCTTAACTAGGTTATCAGGGTAAACATTTTAACCTGGCAAAATTTTCTGTTTTAACAGTTTAATTTGCACAGTACCTTTGATTACCAACCGATTTTTACAAAACTTGAATAATAAGCAATTAATGTCAACAGTTAACCTGATTTCAAATTTCTGCAATTTTTAAGAAAATTAAATTGATTAACGTGACGTGACTTTAATGAAAACAAAATTCTGACTGGGTTAAAAGGAAAATGTTTCAACCAGACATCACTTCACCTCAGGTGTTATTGACTTTGTTAAAACGATGAAAGTATTATTGACTAGAGTATAACGGTACTAAACATTTCAACCGGGTAAAATTTCCCGTTTTTTACATATTTACGGCCACTTCCTGTCATATGTCATAGGATAAATAAAGAATCTCAACAAGGAAAAATAATTATTAAAATCGGTCAAAAACTTGTGAAGATATCATCCTAAATATAGCGAGAAACATTTTAGCCGGGCGAAAAAAATTATCTGAAAAATAAAGGGAAATAACTGAGACTTGTGTTAGTGTAATCGGACTGACTTCCCGTTCCAGAAGTTTCCGAAAAATGGATCAAGCCGTTTAAAAACGGGGCGGATCAGAAAATGAAATAAATAAAGGCGAAAAGAGCTAAAAAAATGACGGGAAAATATCGAAAAATTGTAAGCAACCTTGTCGGCACGTAAAAGGTCAAAAGCGAAATTAGAAATTTTGAAAGTTTCAAATACCCAAAATTCGACCCTGATCCCGGTTATCCAGAAATGAATTATCCAAACTAAGACCTATTGTCTTTATTTTCACATCCTTTAAAGTGGATTTTTCATTGTTTTTCATATTCAATTGAAAATGCTGACCATCAAGTGACCGAAATCAAAATTCTGCCCTGAACGTTTTTTAGGCATTCCTTCAAGGATTCAGAAAATGTAACTCCCATGTCTGTAAGTAAAATATCGCAAATGTCTTAGAGTCAGTAAAAAAAAAACTTGCTGAGTTATAAAAAGAAACATGTCAACCGGGCAAAATTTGCCGTTATTTGTTACGAATTAAATCGCTCAGAAACTGTCTAAGTCATAGCAACCAGGCATCACTTCCCATCAGCTGTTATTGATGTTGTCAACAATCTTAAAGAGAACAGAATTATTAACTAGCCTTTGGTTAGCAACTGATTTTGACAAAACTTTAAAAATAAGCTCCCACTGGCCGAATTAATCTTTTGTGATCAAAATTTGACCGGATTTGATAGCTCTGCGCTTTTTTTTTATTTATTTAAAAAAAAAACTAAATTTCAATACATCACTTTAAAAAACAAATTGGCCAACAACGGACTGGGTTATAATCTGAATTTGTATTGCGGAACAGACTATGCCTATGAGAGTAACACCTCTCTTTGATTCAGCTACATTTACACAGTATAAAAATATACAGTCTATATACATACATACACACGTACATACATACACATAGAACATATAGGATGCATATAATCGATATTATAGAGACATATTGGCCTGTCCCGAGTATTTCCAAACCGTTAGAGATATTTCACTCGTAAACAATTTTGTCGGCATTTTATTTAATCTTACAATATAAACACATTTCGGAATTTAACACTGTTTACGACATTGTTCTCACAAATTTATTTGCACATTCTCTATAAACTTGCAATATCTCCATTCTTCTGCCCAACCTATATTGTATTTGATAAAACAAAAAAACAAAACATCAACTTTTAAACACTGAACTGCAAGTAAACTGAAAGGAAGATAGGGCAATCAATATAAACACCTTTCGGAATTTAACACTGTTTACGACATTGTTCTCACAAATTTATTTGCACATTCTCTATAAACTTGCAATATCTCTATTCTTTTGCCCAACCTATTGTATTTAAAAAACACACAAAACGTCAACTCTTAAACACTGAACTGCAAGTAAACTGAAAGGAAGATAGGACAATCACATTCTTGGAGCCCTTTACATGTGAGACAAGTAATACATTTCACGTCATTTACAAGAGTTATCTACCTTGCGTCGCTAAGTCCTTAAAGCGGATTTTTCACTCGTAAACAACTTTGTCGGCAATGAAAAAGGTCTAAGGCGAAATTTGAAATTTTGATTGTTTAAATACCCAAAATTCGACCATGAGCGATGCTATCCAGAAATGTATTGATTACAGAAATAGGAAACGTATTCACCAAACTACGGCCTATTGTGTTTATTTACAAGTCCGTTAATATTGATTTTTCAATATTTATCTTATTCAAGTCATAATAGTGACCATCAGTTTACCGAAATCAAAATTCTGCCCCGGTGGATTTTTAGGAATTCCTTCAATGATTCAGAAAATATAACTCACATGTCTGTAAGTAAAATATCGCAAAAGCCTTAGGGATTTTTCACGTTTCAAGATGGTGGCACTTCCAGTTCGATCTAGAAACTCCATATTTTGTGTACGAATCAGTAATTTCTCAGCTAGTACGGAAAAAAAAATTCAAATCATTCTGGCCTATATTTTGTCAATTTTCAAGATGGTGGCACTTCCAGTTCGATCTAGAAACTCCATATTTTGTGTACGAATCAGTAATTTCTCAGCTAGTACAGAAAAAAAAAATTCAAATCATTCTGGCCTATATTTTGTCAATTTTTAAAAAAAAAATTGATCCTTAATTTCTTCAAGGGGAGATAAGTTAGAAAATTTCTAATAATATTTTTCAAGTCGCATCAGTAAGATCTACTCACATTCCAAAATTCATTAAAATCTTGCAAATATTAAAGCAGTTGTCAAGTTGGTGTCAACTTCCGGGACGGAATTATAGCAACGAATTTTCGAAATTCAAAAATCTGAAATTGCAGTTAAAAATGAAATCCGTAAGAGTGATCAAAGAAAAAGGAGTTATTAAAATAGGTAAAAAGCACAAAGTTACGACTATGCATTGTTAGTTTTTTCGTTCGTAAAATTCGGCGATTTCGGATTTGTAAAACGTTTTGAAAATATATTTAATCAAAAGTTACCACCCATTATTTTTTTTGTTTTTTTGGTTTTTTTGGAAGGGGGAGGGTAGGTCAAAGTTTCAGAAATATCCCATGGTTAGATTCTGAGGAATCCGATTTGCAGGGAACACACACAATAATAATAATAATAATAATAATAATAACTAGATCTGCATAGCAGATATAAAATCCTTCATATTTAAGGTCACTTCTGTTACATGGGGTTATATAAATAATCCGAACAAGAAAAAATAATCGTGAAAATCAGTCAAAAACTTGCGAAGTTATAAGCCTAAATATACCGAGAAACATTTCACCCGGGCGAAAGAATAATTTGTAAGAAGTGTCAGAAAAATGAATCAAGCCCGAAACGGACAGAAAATAAAATGAAAATGCCGGAAAAGCACACAAATAGGGCGGAAAAATATTGAAAAAATTAAATTAGATAACATTAATTGGAAATTATATTTTTGGAATAAGATTGACCTCAGCTATTTGAATATATAAGACAAATTTGGGAATTTTTAAAATCAAGGAAATAAATTGTCCTGTAAAGAACTTTGTCGGCACGATAAAGGTCAAAGGCAAAATTCGAAATTTTGAAATTTGCAAATATCAAAAATTTGACCCTGATCTCGGCGATCCAGAAATGTATTCATTTCGGAAATAAGAGACGAGTTCTTCAAACCACTGCATAATATGTTTATTTTCACTCCCGTTAACGCTGATTTTTCACTATTTTTTATATTGAATTCAAAAAGGTGACCTTCAGTTGACGTGATCAAAATTCTGCTCCGATAGATTTTTAGGTATTCCTTCAAGGATTTAGAAAATGCAACTCCCATGTCCGTAAGTATAATATCGCAAAAGTGTTAGGGATTTCTCACGTTTCAAGATAATGGCACTTCTGGTTCCATCAACAAACTCCATATTATGCGCACGCATCAGCAGTGTCTTACCCAGTACAGAAATAAATTTCCAAGGCAATCTGACCCGTCTTTTCGATATTTTTGAATATTTTGATCCTTAATTTCTCGAAGGGTTCCGGTGGCACTTCAATCGACAGACTTCATATTTTGTGTACACATCAGTTCTTTCTTAACTAGTACAAAAAATAATTTTGTACCTATATTTTGTCGATTTTTTAAAAAAATTTGATCCTTAATTTCATCAAGGGGAGATAAGTTAGAAAATTTATAATGACATCTTTAAAGACGCCTTGGTAAGATCTACTAACATACTAAATTTCATGAAAATCGTGCAAGAATTAAAGAAGTTGTTAAGTTGGTCTCAACTTCCGGGTCGAAATCACAGCGACGAATTTTCAAAATTTTTTGCCGATTTTAATAATTCTTTTTACTTTTTTTAGATTCTTTATACAACCCATGACATGTGACAGGAAGTGACCGTGAATATGTACAAACTGGAAATTTTACCCGGTAAAAATGTTTCATACCGTTATACATTAATCAACAATACTTTCATCCTTTTCCTCAGTTAGTAACATTTTGAAATATTTTCCTTTTTAACCCGGTCAGAATTTAGCCGATTTTGTTTTGATTAAATTCACGTTTTTCGTAATTGCACTTTTTACAGGACACACAAAGAAGAAAACAATAGCAAAATCAGTCAAAAAACTGATAGGTCTATTTCTTCGTTCGTAAAGTTTAGTGATTTCGGATCAAAAGCTACCACCCATGTTGGGGGGAGAGTGGGGTAGGTCAAAGTTTTAGAAAGATCCCATGGTTAGACACAATAATAATAATAATAATGATAACTAGAACAGCGACGCAGTAATGACGGGTTTCACCGGTGCCCCGTTACCCTTGAACATATGTCACTTCCGGTACCGATGAAACCATTAAACATGTTTCCATATAAGCATTGCACACATCAAATAAAATGTACGCAGAATCAACCAAATCCAGCAATATCAATTCATTGTATACATTTGTTACATGTAAGTGATCCTGACAAAACTACATTACTTCCGGTGATAATGAAAATGTTAAATTAGTTTTATGAAATCAGAAATGGCATAAGGCATCACATGGTGAAAATTTTATGTAAATGGAATAATAATTGCCACTTTCATAGACCAAAAACCTTGAACAGTGACTTGTAGAAAATCGTCTATTTCTCTGCAACCGTACAAGTTAGAAACCATTTTTTCGTATCTGTATGATCGTATGGGTTCAATCGATTTGTTGATTGGAATCAAATATCATAATTTTAAAAACATTACAAATCAGACTCATTTGAATAAAATATATGTTTTAAAGGCTAAAAATATAGTTTTTTCCAAAATGTCGTTACTTCCGGTGATAATGAAAATGTTGATTTACCTGTATGAAATCGTAAATGACATTAGGTATCACACAGTAGAAATTTCATGAAAATCGAATAATAATTGACACTTTTATGGACAAAAAAGTGACCTGTTGAAAATTGCCTATTTCTCTGCAACTGAACCATTTTGTGATATCTATATGATCGTATGGGTTCATTCTATTTGTTGATTAGAATCAAATTTCAAAATTTTAAACAAACAACAAATACGACTCATTTGAATAATTTTTTTGTTTCGAAGGCTATAAGTACAGTTTTTGCCCTAATTTCGTCATTTTCGTCAACATTGAAAATGTTAAATTGAGTTGAACTAGCCACAATTGACATTATGCATCAAATGGTGTCACTTTTATGAAAATCCAATAATAATTGACTCTTTTACAGGCACATAATAGCGTAAAGAGTGACTCATGCAAAATTGACCATTTCTCGGCAACTGCTCATATTACAAACTAATTTTGAGATATGATTCTCTTCGTATGGATTAATGCTACAAGTTTATGAAAGTTGTGAAGAAATATTTTAAAATATGAAAAGCCTGAATGGGTTGTAAATAGCTCATTTTAACACCTTTTTTCACCATTAAATCGAAATGGCGCAAATACAAAACCAAAATTTAAAAAAGCGAGTCCGAGATTTTTTGCGCCTTTGGTAGGGGCATCAGATTTGCAAAAATTAACATTTGCTAGTTAAAAGACGTTCCGATTCGACAAAATTGGAGTTTTTAACAAAATTGCGTCACATCCGGTGCCAATAGAAAACTTTACCTCTAATAAAAAAATTGAGAATTTGAATCATGGAGCATATGAACTTTGTTTTCTAAAAATCGGGCAATAAATAATTAACCTAGAGCCGATAAACTGAATTAGCCAATAGCGGCCAAGAAAAATTATCGAGACAAAAAATGTTCACATTTTTGTTCAAATTAGACGAGCCCTTAACCCTGGGTAAAATGGCATAAAAAAAATTATTCATTTATAAAAAAGTTTTTTGTCAAAATTTAAATTTTCAAAATTTTGCGCCTAATATCTCCAAAGATTCGTCGAAAATAAAAAATCTAAACTACCGTAGCTATGTGCCCTGTCTCAGGCTATGTCAAAATGTATCCAATGTTAAAATCCGACGATTATTGTTAATATTACTGCAATATTTCAAAAAACGACAACTTTGACGTTTCGGACATTTCGTTTCGGACAAATAGCTTTAATCTCTAAGTCACACCCACTTTCCCAGTAAAACCGAAGACATCGAATTGATCCGACAATTAGTAGTTTCTGAGATATGCTCAAGTGGAAAAAAAATAATAATAATAAGAACTAGAACTGCGATGCAGTAATGACGGGTTTCACCGGTGCCACGTTACCCTTGAACTTATGCCACTTCCGGTGCCAGTTACCCAGCAATATCAATTTCATTTATACATTTGTTACCATGTGTTACATATGTCAAAAAAGTTATCCTTACAAAATTTGTTACTAACTTACCGCTAAGTTAGCTGACTTTTTAATGGGAAATTTCTCGACAAGTGAAGATGATAGAAGCTATTTTTGGACATCTATATGATCGTATTGATCCCATCTGTACGTCCATTAAAATCAAATATCATAATGTTAAACGAATGATAAATATAACTCACTTCAAAACAATTTGAAGGCTAAAAATACAGTTTTTGCCAAAATTACATTACTTCCGATGATCATAAAAATGTTACATTAATTCTTTGAAATTATAAATGGCATATTATAAATAATAATTGACACTTTTATAGACCAAAACCTTGAAAAGTGACTTGTAGAATATCGTCTATATCTCTGCAACCGAACAAGTTAGAAACCATTTTGTGATATCTGTATGGTCGTATGGGTTTTTGCCCAAATGTCGTCATTTTCAGTGACAGTGAAACTGTTAAATTGTATTGACCTAGTCAAAGGTGGCATGAGGCATCATGTGGTAACAAAAATTGAAAATCGAACGATAATTGACTCTTTTACATGCAAAATAACGTGAAAAGTGATGCATGCAAAATTGCCTATTTCTCGGCAACTGCGCATATTACAATCTAATTTTGACATACACTCCAGCAAACACAAAACATTTTGGTAACATTCGTAATTGTTTCTAATATGGTTGCGTTCAGAATGTTTGTTTAAGCAAGTTCTCCAAACGTTCGAAAAAGGTTCAGAGATAGACTGTACTTTTTATAAACGTTCCAGAAAGATCGCCAGAATGTTATCTTTTGACATTTTAATTTTACTTTCATTCAACAATGACCGAACTTTATTTTGAATGTTTTTATAATGTTTAATCGGCAAACATTGCATTAAAACATTATATTAATGTTTCAACCCCGTTTTTTATGACGTTTTATCGTTGATACTGTGAAACGTTGTATTTCCAATTTACATCTTTTTTTGCATCTTACATCATTAGCAAACGTTGCATTAAAACATTAGATTAATGTTTCAAACCCGTTTTTTTATGACGTTATATCGTTGATACTGTGAAACGTTACTAAACATTAATTAATATCGTTCTAGTGACGATTACATTAGAAACGTTCAGATTAGTTGTTCCAAGAACGTTAACTGAACCACCTGAATCAACGTTATTTCCAAAGCCTGGTCAGACAACCTGTAAACGTCAGTATATTATGTTCTTCTAACGTAACTATTGTAGTGTTTTAACTTATGATTCTTTGAACGTTAGTAATATATTTGTTTGTGACGTTATATTGATTCAGTTTTTTAAAACGTTCTGTTTTCCTAATCTAAAAACGTTAAAATTAAACGAAAAATAAACCCTTCCAATAAAGTTCGTAAAACGTTGTATTTCTATTTTAAATATTCTTTACATCTTACATCATTAGCAAACGTTGCATTAAAAACTTAGAGTAATGTTTCGACCCCGTGTTTTATGACGTTAAATAGTTGATACTGTGAAACGTTACTAAACGGTCAGTAAACTATGTTCGTTTAACCTAACTTTCGTAGCGTTTTAGGTTATGATTCTTTGAACGTTATTAATATATTTGTTTGTGACGTTATATTGATTATTGGATTTTAATTTTTAAAACATTCTGTTTTCCTAATCTAAAGGCGTTGAAATTAAACGAAAATAAAAAACCTTACAATAAATTTCGTAA